AGTTCAACTACAGGCTGAGCCCAGTGCCGAATGACTGTGGAGTGTGCTTTTAGCTGTTTAAAGGGCCGCTGGCGATCTCTGTATGGGAAACTGGACTTGGCCGAAAACAGCATCCCCGCGGTTATATCCATGTGCTGTACTCTCCATAATATTTGTGAAGGGAAGGGTGAAAGATTCAGTCAGGCATGGACCTCCGATGTTCAACACCTGGAGGCTGAATTTGCACAGCCAGAGAGCAGGGCTCTTAGAGGGGCCTAGCCCAGGGCTTCAAGGATTAGCTTGCTGGTTTGAGCATTGGCCTGCTAAACCCAGGGTTGTGAGTTCAATCCTTGAGGGGGCCACTTAGGGGTCTGGGGCAAAATCAGTACTTGGTCCTGCTAGTGAAGGCAGGGGGCTGGACTTGATGAGCTTTCAAGGTCCCTTCCAGTTCTAGGAGATAGAATATCTCCATTAATTCATTCATAATTCAATTTGTGCCTTGACGGAGCAATTTGAGGCTGGAAACCAGCAGTAATTGTCTGGTGCCCTGCATAGGACAGAAGTGCAGTGGTTCCAATGTTAGTAGGAATCTGTGTTTGCTAAGCTGACTTGCAGTGCCTGTTTCTTTCCTGGGCTAAGGTAGCTTTTATTTTATTCAATAATAAAGAATGTTTTCAAAGCCAAAAAATCCATTTATTGAAAAGAAAATTCATTTACTGAAAAGAAACACAACTGCTTGGGAATCAGAAAGGGCCAGGGGGCGGGGTGGGGAACGGTACAATCACAGATTTGAGTATGTCCTGTCTGGTGTGCTGTGCAATGAGTGCTGCACTTCAGGATGGCTATACTGCATGGTGATGGGGGTTGAGTGCAGAGGGTAAGGGTTGTAGTTCTCAGTGCTGCTTGGTGAAGATACAGGTGTTGGAGGCAGCTGGTGGCAGTAAGAACCCGGATGTTGGGGAAAGTGGGTTGGAGGTGACATGGGGGCACAAGGGAAAGAGTTTTGGGACAAGGGCCGCAGGGGGGGTGAGCGCGGTAGTGCTCCGCCTGCATGGCTACGAGCGCCTGGATAGAGTGCGCTTGGTGCTCCATGATGCTTATCAGCTGATCCGTGCTTTGCTGCCGGTGCTCCGTGCTTCGCCGCCGGTGTGCTGCATTTTCCTGGCGGATCCTGCTTTTGCTCTCCCTCCACTCCTGCGCTTTTTGATTCTCTGTAAGAGATTGATGCATCACTTCCTGCAGCATGTCTTCTTTGCTTTTTCGCAGTCTCTTCCGGAGTTTTTGCGGTCTCTTAGTCGGTGATAACACGGACGGCTGAGATCTCAAGGTTGCATCTGTAATGGCAAAATGCAACACTTAACAGAGGCAGCATTGTTTATACCAGATAGAGTAATGATTCCCCCGCACTAAAGGAGGGCACACACAGTCTACACAATAGCATACTTTTCCTGTCCCAAAGAGAGCGCACATAACCCACGGGAGCCCCAAAATGGTGAGTTTCAGAGTAGCAGCCGTGTTAGTCTGTATCTGCAAAAAGAACAGGAGTACTTGTGGCACCTTAGACACTAACAGATTTATTAGAGCATAAGCTTTCGTGGACTACAGCCCGAAGAAGTGGGCTGTAGTCCACGAAAGCTTATGCTCTAATAAATTTGTTAGTCTCTAAGGTGCCACAAGTACTCCTGTTCTTTTTGCCAAAATGGTGAGTAGGGGGACTGATTGTTTCAGGGCTGTACTGTCCTCTGAGTTTCTGTGCCTTGGGGAGAGTCAACAGCTGCAGGGGGCACCTACACTGAACACTGTCCCAACATTTTCCACAGGAGTTCATCCTGGAAGATATCTCGCTGCTGAGGGTGACCTGGGAAGCAAGGGAGGGTCTTCTACTGCAATGCGGCTTCTGTCCTGGCCCATATGCAGCTTGCCTGTGTGCAGCAATGGTCCCCCTGCCCCTCGCGGCACAGTGGTGCGGACACGTTAATCTGACTGGGACAAGGACCATGGTGACTCTCCCAAGAAACCTGCGCAAGCGCATTGCACATGTTCTGGATGAGACTTTCTAAGAGATTACCAAGGCCGATTACCGTGATGTGATAGACCACATCAATGCACTATTCCACATCTAGGCATACATGCAGCCCTAACCTTCTTCTCCCAAAGAGCCCGCACCGAAAAAATTCCTTCCTGAAAAAACAACTTCCCGAAAAAAAAGCCGCTTACCGGGAACCTGCTCTTCTGTTTGTCCTCCACCAAGTACCGGCCACTGCGACTGGCTACCTTCCTCTTGGCTCGAGAAGAGCTCCTGGCTGCATGCCTTCAGGGATTCCGGGGTGTCTCCTCCTGCCCCAGCACCCTCACTCCCGCTTTCCTCCTCCTCCTCCCCCTGCTCTGAAGTATCCATGGTGGTGCTCGGAGTGGAGGTGGGGTCACCCCCAAGTATCGCGTCCAGCTCTTTTTAGAATCGGCAGGTCGCGGGGGCTGCACCTGAGCGGCCATTTGCCTCGCGGGCTTTGCAATAGGCACTCCGCAGCTCCTTCACTTTAATCCTGCACTGCACCACATCCTGGTCATGGCCCCTGTCCATCATGGCCCTTGATATCTGCCTGAAGGTATCGTAATTCCTATGGCTGGAGCGCAGCTGGGACTGGACAGCTTCCTCCCCACAAACACTGATGAGGTCCAGCAACTCGCCATTGCTCCATACTGGGGCTCGCTTGGCGCGTGGAGACACGGTCACCTGGAAAGATTTGCTGAGAGCACTCCACACCACGCCGGGCTGAGCAAACAGGAAGGGGATTTTTAAAATTCCCGGGGAATATAAAGGGTGGGTCTGACGGTTGGTCACCTGAGGCCAGGGCAGTAGAGTTCGAACTGATGACCAGAGTGGCTAGAACAGGCATTGTGGGATACTGCCGAATACTTGTGGAGGCCAATCAGAGCGCATTGGGGGGCCACACTGGCACCGCAGCACAATACTCTTTATTCTTCTCGGGGAGGTGGAGTACAAGCAGCGCTGTAGCCGCGGAGATACAGCGCTGTACGTGCCTTGCCAGTGTGGACGGGGAGTGAAGTACTGCGCTGTGGGCAGCTTTATTGCGCTGTAACTCGCAAGTGTAGCCAAGGCCTCAGAGGCTGTTTGCAGAGTTCCCAGGAAAGCTTCTCAGTGGGTGGGAAGCATCTTCTAAGGTCTGGTCTATACTACCCGCCTGAATCGGCGGGTAGAAATCGACCTCTCGGGGATCGATTTATCGCGTCCCGTTGGGACGCGACAATCGATCCCCGAATCGGCGCTCTAACTCCACCAGCGGAGGTGGTAGTAAGCGCCGCCGACAAAAAGCGGCAGAAGTCGATTTTGCCGCCGTCCTCACAATGGGGTAAGTCGGCTGCAATACGTTGAATTCAGCTACGCTATTCACGTAGCTGAATTTGCGTATCTTAAATCGACTCCCCGCTGTAGTGTAGATGTACCCTAAGATCTATTGTTTTCTCTAACAACCCTTCCCAGTGAGACATCTAGACTGATTGCATTCTGCCTAGTGGGCGTCCCCAGGTGTAAGCACATTTGTAATAGGTGCATAGACAATATTAATAACTTCAGATATAAAAATGATACATGCATACAAATAGGACAATCATATTCAGTAAACCATAACCTTTTCAATGATACCCCACACGACCTCTCTTGTATAAAATACATCATAGTTATGCCATAATCATATCATGACAATATCTCTATGAGGAATATGGGGTCGTAGTGTCACAGGACAGTACAGCTCAGATGAGAAGGAAAGCAAGAAAAAGCAAGCAAGAAAAGAGACAGAAAGAGAAAGAACACAAACAGGCAAGCAAGAAAGAAATATAGACAAGAGACAGAACGAGAAAGCAGAAAAACAAGCAAGCAAGAAAGAAAACAAGAGAGAGAGAGAGTAAACAGGAGGATGGAATGCAAGCAAGACAGAAAAGAGACAGAAAGAGAATGCAAGAAAACAAATGCAAGAAAAGAACGAGAAAGCAAGACAGCAGTCAAGAAACAAAAGAGATAGAAAAAATAAGAGGTTGAAAGAAAAAGCAGGAAAGCAAGCAAGAAAAGCAATAGAAGAGACTAAACGAGCTAGAAAGACAAAACAGGAAAGCAAGCGAACAATCTAGAAAAGAGGAATCAGAAAAGCGAGCTGGAAAGAAAAGCCCTAGCAAGAGAAAGAAATGAAAGAGCTAGAAAGAAAAGCCAAGAACCAGAGAAAAGCCATAGAAGCAAGCAAGAAAGACGAAAGTAAAAGACAGAAAGAAGGATGGTGAGCAAGCGAGCAAGGAAAGAGAAGCAGGAAAGCAAGCAAGGCAGGAGATAGCCCAAGAGAGGAAGCAGGCCCAGGGAGGCTACTTACCCAGCAGCGGCAGCAGGAGAGTTAGCTCCATGCTGAGTGAACTGATCCGTCTGGGGCTGAGAGCTGGGTTCTGAGCCATCAGCACTGTCTCTGCCCAGGGAGGAGACTGGCTCCCTTCCTGTCAGCTGAACCCCAGCTGGACGTGACACCCAGCCTCCACTTCCTCTGTGATGTGGGAGATATCCTGGCATCCCAGTGAAGGTCACATGCTGGACTCTTGGGCAATATGACAGCAGTTGCTGACCACAAACTGAGGCCCTCCTCCCTGCATTTCCCCCCACCCCCCTCAGCGTCTTGCAAAAGCAACATGGCCCTGGGCCAGCTCAGCTCAACGCGGTGTTACCCACCCATAGGACCTTCTCCAGTGGTGTGGGGAAACTGAGGCATGGTGCAGGCAAGGTGGGTGATGCCCCAGCCTTTATACAGTTTCCACTGGGAGTCAGATATTTGCGGTGGCCAACGTATAAGAAAATTAATTATTTCCTCCCGTTTGCATTGAAATTTTTCACCCTGATTTTCTAAGCAGCTCAAACTTGCCTGTTTGTGCCGAGGCCTAAGGGGTTTGAATGCCCGTGAACAAGGATGGGAATTGGGTGTCTGAATCCCTTTGGCCATCTCATTTTTGGATTGAGGCTCTTATGGGCAGCAACTGGCTCTGGGCTGTGGGGTGGTTGATGCTAGTAATCTCATGATAAAGACCAGAGGCCAGGAATTTCAGGGGTGCCTAGAGATTCTGTCTGGCTTGCCAGGAAGCTGCCCTCGGAGGATCAGGGCCTTTCCAGATCCCAAGGACCCACAATCCCTAGTCACCTTTGAAAATGTTGGTTGCATGTCTTCCCAACTGATAGGAATCATGCCCCTTCTTGGAACTGAGAGGGGAACCCAGGAGTCCCCCCATGCCATGCCCAGAGCTGGGGCGAGAACCCAAGAGTCCTGGCTCCCACCCCCCCCTGCTGCAACCACTAGATCCCACTCCCTGCTCAGAGCTGGGGTGAGAACATAGGAGTCATGGCTCCTAGGTTGCCACCCCCCATCCGCTCAAATTACTAGATCCCACTGCCCTATCAGAGTTGTGTAGAGAACCCAGGAGTCCTGATACCCAGCTCCTGCCCCCCCCCTCCAACCACTAGACCCCACTGCCTGCTCAGAGCTGAGGGTAGAATCTAGGAGTCCTGGCACCCAGCCCCTTCTGCTCTAGCCACTAGTTCCCACTCCCCTCCAAGAGCTGGGAATGGAGAAGATGGGCTGTGGCAGGAGAATCTCCCCAGAAAGATCAATATGTCCCTGCCCTGCATGGAACAGGGGATGAGAGTGAATGATGACTTATGGACGAGGAGGTTGAAGAAGGGGTGGCTGGGCCATGTCTACAGGGAGGGTCAGGGGCCAGGATTGGGCCCCGAGTATCACTGAGCTGATGAGATGACAGGGACTGGAGCTGAAGGAACTGAATTCAGCTCACAGTGGGCTGCCGCTCTCTGAGCCCGCAGCCTCATGGATTCAGGGCAAGGTGGCTTCTCCTTGATAGTGGGGCTAGTGGTGGGTGCACACAGCCGGCCACAGCCCAGCTCAGCAGGGACAGGAGTTCTATGGAGAATCTCCCTTCTGGATCAGCAGTACAGGGCCAATGACACACACCACAGCGGGGAGGAAATAACCACAGCAAAGGAAATAGAGAAAGAACAGGTTAAAGAATATTTAGAGACATTAGATGTATCCAAGTTGGCAGTGCCGGATGAAATCATCCTAGGGTACTTAAGGAATAAGCTGAAACAACCTGGAATCATCAGCAATTATCTTAGAGGAGTCATGGAGCCTGGGTGATATTCCAGAGAGCTAGGGAAGGGCAAACATTGTAGCTATCTTTAAAAAGGGGAAGAAGGAAGACCTTGGTTATTAGTCAGTCAGTCTAACTTTGATACCTGGAAAGATACTGGAACAAGTTATTAAACAATCAATCTGTGAGCACCTAGAGGATAAGAAGATTATAAGAAAGCACCAGCATGGATTTGTCAAGAACAAATCATGCCAAAGCAACCTCATGTACTTCTTTGGCAGGGTTACTGGCTTCGTGGATGGGGGGAAGCAGTAGACGTGATGTATCTTGATTTTAGTCAGGTGTTTGACAGTCCCACATGACATTCACATAGGCAAACTAGGGAAATGTGGTCTAGGTGAAATTATTATAAGCTGCGTGCACAACTGGTTGAAAGACCATCCTCAAAAAGTAGTTAGCAATGGTTTGCCATTAAAGCGAGAGGGCATACTTAATGGTGTCCCACAGGGCTCAGTCGTGGTCTGGTACTAGTCAATATTTTCATGAATGACTTGGAGAATGGAGAGTAGAGAATAGGCTTATAAACTTTGCGGATGACACCAAGATTGGAGGGGTTGCAAGCACTTTGGAGGGCAGGATTAGAATTCAAAACGACCTTGACAAGTTGGGGGGAATTGGCCTGAAATCAACAGGCTGAAATTAAATAGAGACAAGTGCAAATGCAATGAGGAATCTGGTGGCACCTTAAGGTGCCACCGGACTCCTCATTGTTTTTGTGGATACAGACTAACACAGCTACCCTCTGATACTTGAAGTGCAAATAATTTCACTTAGGAAGGGAAAATCAAAGGCACTGCTGCAAACTGGGGACTAACTGGCTAAGAGGGTCGTACTGCTGACAAGGATCTGGGGTTAGGGTGGATCACAAATTGCAGATGAGTCCCCAATGCGATGCAGCTGTGAGAAAGGCTAATATCATTCTGGGGTGTATTCACAGGAGTCTTGTATGTAACACACGGAAGGTCATTCTCCTACTCAACTCGGCATTGGTGAGACGTCAGCTGGAGAACTGTGTCCAATTCTGGGATTTTAGGAAAGATGTGGACAAATTCAAGAGAGTCCAAAGGAGAGCAACAAAAATGATCAAAGGTTTTGAAAACCTGACCTATGAGGAAAGGTTTTTTAAAAAAACGGGCTTTTTTAGTCTTGAGAAAAGAAGACCTGATAACATTCTTCCAATATGTGAAAGGCTGTTACAAAGAGGGCAGGGATCAATTGTTCCTCATATCCACTGAAGTTAGACAAGCATCTGCAGCAAGGGAGATTGAGATTAGATATTAGGAAAAAGTTTCTAACTGTAAGGGGAGTTAAGCTCTGTAATCGGCTTCCAAGGGAGGTTGTGGAAGCCCCATCACTGGAGGTTTTGGAGACCAGATGGGACAAACACCTGTTGGAGATGGTCTGCATGGTCCTACCTCAGTGCACAGGGCTGGACTTCATGACCTCTCCAGGTCCCTTCCAGCCTGACATGTCTCATTTTATAGAATCATGGGGGGGCGGGGGAGTGGAGGGGCGGAAAGACCATAGGAGGTTAAAGGGGGGGTTTAATGACAAACAGGAGACAGGAAATTTACAGAAATTTACATCAGCTTGAATGTTCCTGGTAAAGTGGAGATTTGCTGAGAAGTTAGGAGAATAGAAACTTCTTCCTTCCTTTCAAACAGTCCCAGTATCTCTGCAGCAGGCAAAGAGACACAATCACATCTCCGTTTTGCCAGGGATGTTTTCGGCTGGAGGCCTGGTGTGTGCCCACCAGCGTGAAGGAGACCTTGGGAGGATATGCACGGTGAGTGTGGTAAGCTTCACAGATCTTCATTGGTCCTATGATGTTGCAGGGGACATGGAGGCAAGGAGCCGAGGGGGCTGTTAAAGAGTGTCTGGGTTGATCATTGATAGAGGCATAGGTGAGTAACTGCTGATAAAATCATCGCTCTGGGCTCTCCTCCTCCGCTCCCACTTGGAACCTACCAATGATAAAAGCAAATCAGTCACATCGCTAACGTACCTGGGGCATTTCATAGTGTGTTTCTATTCCACGTTAGGGCTCTGGCTCAGAAGGGGAAAAGGTGGGGTGCACTTAGATGGGAGACCAACAAGGGATAGCAAAGCAAGGAATCCAGGAGGGGGCATTGTGAGTATCTCAATAGGGGGCACACTCCCCTGGGAAAGAGTGCTGTCTGCAATACCCCCATGCATCACTAGGGGGTGCTGCGCTGCAGGGAGCGGCCGCTCAGTAGGGGTCGTTCTTGCATCTTAATCAGCGCTGACTCCAATGCACCAGCATAACACTAGGGGGTGCTGTGATGCAGGGAGTGGGGGGCTCTCACCTGATAGTCAGTGCTGACCACAGTACCACAGTGTGGTGCTAGGGGGAGCTGTGCTGCAGGAAGTGGGTTGAGGGGGCTCTCCCCCGATAGTCAGTGCTGACCACAGTGGCACAGTGTGATGCAGGGAGCGAGGCAGGGCTCAGTAGGGGGCGCTCTCTCCTGCCAGTCAGTGCTGAGCCCAATGCCCCAAGGTGGCATTGTGCTGCAGGGAGCAGGGCGGGGGCTCAGTAGGGGGTGTGTCACAGCAGAGAAACCATAATCAACCTGGTCTGCTGCATGGAAGGGGAAATTGAGGCACACCACCTCATGGCATTGCTGGCTAAATGCCAAGTTACCTACACACTAGAAAACATTAATATCTGCATTGAGTTAACACCAGATGGAAAAGCAGAAGGGTTAACAATACTGACCAGATACAAAGAGATGCTTTCTAGCATCCCAGAGGAGGCACACTGGCTCACTTCTGAAATGACCAGACTGATCCACAAAGGGTTAAAAGCTACACAGAGCTTTACAAGAGCTCCTGGGGGGAACATGACAATGTTTAGCAACACTTGGGAGCTGTGTGGTCAAAACCTAAAGAGGATCTTGGGCCCACTGCCTCCGCATTGGTCAGTGACTAAAACTCCTGCAGTGAACTAAGAGGGATGGGATGATGCTCTGTACCTCAGAGTAGCACCGTGGAACCCCCATATTCACCACTCTCATACAATTAGGATATGTTTGGTACAACGTGTGCCTTGTGAGGTATCATTTTTAAAGTCTTCATCTGTTGAACATTGATGTCCTGTTGGATTGCGTGTGCTGTCATTGTATGGGAAGTTATGAAGTATTGCTGTATATCAGGGATCGGCAACCTTTGGCACGCGGCTCGCCAGGGTAAGTAAGTACCCTGGTGGGCCGGGCTGGTTTGTTTACCTGCCACGTCTGCAGGTTCGGCCGATTGCAGGTCCCACTGGCCGTGGTTCACCGCTCCAGGCCAATGGGGGCAGCGGGAGGCAGCGGCCAGCACATCTCTCATCCTGCGCTGCTTCCCGCAGCCCCCATTGGCCTGGATCGGTGAACCACAGCCAGTTTGAGGGGGGAGGGATAGCTCAGTGGTTTGAGCATTGGCCTGCTAAACCCAGGGTTGTGAGTTCAATCCTTGAGGGGGCCATTTAGGGAACTGGGGTAAAACTCTGTCCGGGGATTGGTCCCCCTTTGAGCAGGGGGTTGGACTAGATACCTCCACCCCTAATATTCTATGAACCGCGGCCAGTGGGAGACGCGATCGGCCAAACCTGCAAATGCGGCAGGTAAACAAAGTGGCCCGGCCCGCCAGGGTGCTTACCCTGGCGAGCCGCGTGCCAAAGGTTGCCGATCCCTGCTGTATATGTTACTGAAATATGTTGTGAGGTTGGGAACACCCACAACCAGCCTTTCAGGGACAACAGTGGAGTAGCCAGGCAGCATTAATGGCTCATCAAGGAAAGAATCCACTATTCATAGACTTTATACAATGGAGACTGCTTGAGCAATGGGGACCACCTGATCCCCACTGCACAGCAAAGATCTGAGCAAGAAAGTATAAAAGAGGGGAAGTGACATTATCACTTGGCCTCACTCCCCCCACAGCTCAACACCTGGAAACACATTTGAAGGACAAAGACTTTCAACTGGGGGAGGCAGGTCCCAGGCTGGAGAAGAGTCCTAGCCTGTGTATTGAGGATCTGTAACCTGCTTGTACCGTTTGTCTAGGTGAGACACTGCTTGGTTCAAATCCTGTTTAGTTTGTAGAACTTAGACTGTGAATTTATTTATTTTTTCTTAAGGAACCAACTTTGATCTCTGCGCCTGCTCCTTATAATCACTTTGAATCTGTCTTTCTGTCATTAATCATCTGTTCTTTATTTTATCTAAATCAGGGTGTTTTGGTTCAAGTGCTTGGGGAATCTCAGCTCAGATTACAAAGGCTGGTGCATGTCCACTTCTGTTGATGAAGTGGGGACTAGGTAATGAACTTACCCTGGCCAGGCTTCTGACCAGTGCAAGATGGCACATCTCTGGGGTGGGGGATCTGGAGGAATTGGCTGGAGCCTCCCTTTTGATGTTTCATGAGTGCCTGGGAGATCATTCATGTACCTCAGCTGGGCATGTCCCTGCCTGTGGATGGCTGTGTAAGTGCAGTGCCTATCAGAGGTTTGTGGTTTGACAACAGCGTCACAGTGTGAGAGAGTGTGATGTTCAGTACCTCATGGGAACACCCTACACCCCCATGTTCATCTTTGTAAAATGATTGTGTGGTATCCAGTGCAAATTTTGTTATGTTGGGTGTCTTCGGAAGGCTCATGATGCACTGAGCATTGTTGTTATAGTGATGTTATAGTAATTGTTACAGTAATGTTATAGTAATGTTGCAGGTTATAATTTCATGTATATAGTTATGAGGCTGAAAATGTATCCTCATGGCTTAAAGAAAGCCAAGGCAAAAACTCTCTAAGGGCAGAGGGGCAGTTCACACCTCATCAAGGCATATATGGGACAAACCCATCCCAGCCTCACAGGAACAAAGGATGCTGGCCTAGCAACAAAAGGATCTGTTGGCCTCTCGAGTGACTCTCCCGCATCCTTTGGTCAATTTGGGACTGTGATGAGGTAATGCTCACCTGACTCTGAAGGGGTGGGGCAAAGCAAGGAGGGAAGAAAGAACATGATAAAAGGGAGAGACATTTGCCATGCTCTTCCTCTCTCTTCCACCTACATCTACAGACACGACCACCAAGCGACTGAAGCGCTGATGAAAGGGGAGAGCCTTGCTGAAGGGCAACCAGCCAGCCTGTGGTGAGAAGCACTAAGTTTGTAAGGACATTGAAAGTGTTAAGATCAATTTAGAATGCATTTTGCTTTTATTTCATTTGACCAAATCTGACTTGTTATGCTTTGACTTATAATTACTTAAAATCTATCTTTTATAATTAATAAATCTGTTTGTTTATTCTACCTGAAGCAGTGAGTTTGGTTTGCAGTGTGTCAGAGACTCCCCTTAGGATAATAAGCTTGGTACATATCAATTACTTTGGTAAATTGACAAACTTATATAAGCTTGCAGCGTCCAGTGGGCATAAATGGACACTGCAAGATGGAGGTTCCTAGGGTTGTGTCCGGGGCCGGAGATATTGGTTAGTGTCATTCGGTTGCACAATCCAAGGAGCAGCTTACATGCCAGAGGCTGTGCGTGAACAGCCCAGGAGTGGGGGTTCTCACAGCAGT